TAGTAGTAGTATAATAATATATATAATATAGCAGTTAGTAGTACTAGTAGAACAGTATGTAGTAGTAGTAGTAGTAGTAGTACTAGTAACAGTTAGTAGTAGTAGTACTAGTAACAGTAGTAGTCAGTAGTAGTAGTAGTACTAGTAACAGTAGTAGTATAGTATAATAATAAAGTAGTAGAAGTAGTACTAGTAACAGTATAGTAGTAGTAGTACTAGTAACAGTAGTAGTATAGTAATAATAATAATAATATAGAAGTAGTACTAGTAACAGATATAGGTAGTAGTAAAGTATAGTAGTAGTAGTACTAGTAACAGTAGTAGTATAATAATAATAATAAGTATAGAAAGTTAGTATAGTAACAGTAGTAGTAGATAGTAGTACTAGTAACAGTAGTAGTAGTATAGTAACGTAGTATAGTAGTAAGTATAGTACTAGTGTAAGATTAATAATAATATAGAAGCAGTACTAGTAACAGTAGTAGTAGTACTAGTAGTAGTAGTACTAGTAACAGTAGTAGTAGTAGTAGTACTAGTAACAGTAGTAGTAGTAGTAGTACTAGTAATAGTACTAGTTGTAATATTAATAATAATATAGAAGCAGTACTAGTAACAGTAGTAGTAGTAGTACTAGTAGTAGTAGTAGTACTAGTAACATGTAGTAGTAGTAGTAGTACTAGTAACAGTAGTAGTAGTGTAGTACTAGTATAACTAGTGTACATAATTAATAATAATATAGAAGTAGTACTAGTAACAGTAGTAGTAGTAAGTACTAGTAGTAGTAGTAGTAGTAGTACTAGTAAATAGTATAGTGTAAGTATAAGTATACATAGTAACAGTTAGTAGTAGTGTAGTACTAGTAACAGTAGTAGAGTATATATAAAAGTAAAGTAGTAGTAGTACAGTAGTAGTAGTAGTACTAGTAACAGTAGTAGTAGTAGTAGTACTAGTAAAGTATAGAGTAATATTAATAATAATATAGAAGCGTAACTAGTAACAGTAGTAGTAGTCCAGTAACAGTAGTATGTAGTAGTAGTTACTAGTAACAGTAGTAGTAGTAGTAGTAGTAGTAGTATTAGTAATATACAAGTATAGAAGTAGTACTAGTAATCAGTAGTAAGTAATATTAATAATAATATAGAAGTAGTACTAGTAACAGTAGTAAGTAGTAGTACAACAGTAGTAGTAGTAGTAGTACTAGTAACAGTAGTAGTAGTAGTAGTAGTACTAGTAACAGTAGTAGTAGTTAGTAAGTATAGTAATAATATAGTAAGTAGTACTAGTAACAGTTAGTAGTAATGTAATAATAATATATAAGTAGTCTAGTAACAGTATTATAGTAGTAGTACATAGTAGTAGTAATATAATTATGAAGTAGTAGTAAGTAGTAGTAGTACTAGTAACAGTAGTAGTAATAGTAGTAGTACTAGTAACAGTAGTAGTAGTTGTAGTGTACTAGTGACAGTAGTAGTAGTACTAGTAACAGTAGTAGTAGTAATATAATTAATAATATAGAAGTAGTACTAGTAACTGTAGTAGTAGTAGTAGTACTAGTAACAGTATAGTAGTAGTAATATTAATAATAATATAGAAGAGTACTAGTAACAGTAGTAGTAGTACTAGTATAAAGTAGTAGTAATAGTAGTAGTACTAGTAACAGTTAGTAGTATAGTAGTACTAGTAACAGTAAGTAGTAGTACTAGTAACAGTGAGTAGTATTAGTAATATATATATAATAATATAGAAGCAGTACTAGTAACAGTAGTTAGTAGTAGTGATAGTAGTACTAGTAACAGTATAGATGTAGTAATAATAATATATAGTAGTAGTACTAGAACAGTAGTAGTAGTATGTACTAGTAAACATGTAGATAGTAGTAGTAGTAATAATATAATATAGCAGTACTAGTAACAGTAGTAGTAGTAGTTAGTAGTTTAGTAGTAGTAGTAGATTATAATAAATAATATAGAAGTAGTACTAGTAACTAGTAGTAGTAGTAGTAGTAACTAGTAAATGTAGATAGTAGTAGAATAGTAATATAGATAGCAGTAACTAGTAACAGTAGTAGTAGTACTAGTAACAGTAGTATTAGTAGTACTAGTAACAGTAATAGTTGTAATATTAATAAATAATATTATTGTAGTAGTACTAGTAACATTAGTAGTAGTGTACTAGTAACAGTAGTAGTAGTAGTAGTACTAGTAACAGTAGTAGTAGTAATAATAATAATATAGAAGCAGTACTAGTAACAGTAAGTAAGTAGTAGTATACTAGTAAAGTAGTAGTAGTATAGTCTAGTAACATATAGTTAGTAGTGAGTAGTAATAATAGTAATATAGAGTAGTACTAGTAACAGTAGTAGTAATAAGTAGTATAATATGAGAGTTTAGTAGTACTAGTAACAGTATAGTAATAGTAGTAAGTATAGTAGTAGTGTAGTAGTAATAATAATTATAGTAAGTAGTACTAGTAACATGTAGTAGTATAGAAGTACTAGTAAACAGTAGTGAATTAGTATAGTTAGTAGTATAATATAATATAGAAGTAGTACTAGTATTAGTAGTAGTATAGTACTAGTTAACAGTAGTAGTAGTGAGTATATATTATCTAGTATGTAGTAGTAGTAGTACTATTAGCAGTAGTGTAGTAGTATATAATAATATATATAGTAGTATATGTAACAGTAGTAGTAGTAGTAGTACTAGTAACAGTAGTAGTAGTATGTGTATATAGTAAATAGTAGTGTAGTAGTACTAGTAACAGTAGTAGTAATATAATAATCTGAAGTAGTATAGTAGTAGTAGTAGTAATAGTAGTAATATAGTAGTATGTTGTAGTTACTAGTAACAGTGTAGTATGACTAGAACAGTAGTGCATAGTAATCAGTTAACAATGTTGGCATTTTATTTTATTATATATTTATACATTTTTTATTCTCATTTTTTTTTATACTGCTTATTATTATTATTATTATTATTATTATTATTATTATTATTATATGATTACTATTATTATTGTTGTTGTTTTTGTTGTTGTTGTTGTTGTTGTTGTTGTTGTGTTGTATGTTGTTGTTGTAGTGTTGTTGTTGTGCTGTTGGTTGCTGTTGTTGTTGTTGTTGTTGTGTTGTTGTAGTTGTTGTTCTTTTCTTCTTTTCTTCTTCTTCTTCTTGTTACTTTTCTTCTTCTTCTTCTTCATTTACTTCTTCTTCTTTTCTTCTTCTTACTCATCTTTCTTCTTCCACTTTCTTCTTGTACATTCCTGCCTAAGCTCTGGGAGTTAGCGTGGGGTGTTACCAAGCACCATGGCTTGTTGTAGTGTTTTAGAATCTCAGGTTCAAGTGTTGAAGAAGGAGATTCTACTTCTTCAGGAGGAAAATAGGAAGCTGAAGCTTCGGATAGATGAGTTTGGGAGCGAGTGTGAGAAGGATTTAGCTGGTAAGGAAGGAATGGTCACCAGCAGTGGCAGTGGCAGCCGCTTTAAGTGACAAGTGGTTCACAGTTCAGGAAGAAGGAAGATCAGGAGAGTTAAATGTAGTATTATTCAATGGTATAATATTATTTAATTGCTCAGTATTATCTATCATCATTGCATTATTTTATTTGACTCTGATGAGGGACTCTAGATCCAACGAACTAGATTTTTCTTCCCAGTCCACAGGTCCTATATGACCACTACTGGTTTAGCGCTTTCCACTGATTAAAATATGAACAATTCTGAATGATATTAATCTTCAACATCTGATGCATCGGGTGAAATGGATGGAACGTTTTATGAGTTAAGGATTAATAAGCACAAATTTTATTGGGGTCTGAGCAGTATCTTGAAAATGCATCTTCCGGTCGGCTTTAAACTTTCAGTGCTGAAGTGTTTTCCTCATAGGAAACAATCTCTTTATGTTTGAATTTTTGGAGAAAGTTATCACGTGCCATTATTGTTAATTAAATTGTTTTCTGCGAACTGGAGAATTTCTTCTTACCAGAAGAAACTCTGGCTATAACTGGCAGTCGTAGGTTAAATTAACTTAATGTTATTTTATGTGCCATTAACATCTGTGTCATCAAGACCATTGTAAAACAAATTAGTATTTTATGTACACAAAGTTTATTACGCAAAACATACCTAATTACTGCACATAATTTCTTTATAGCTGGCCAGTCTTACTTAGGGAAAAACCGGACTGATTTTGGCCCACATAAATTCCAATTAACTTTTTGGAAGAAACTGCTAGAAAAATTAAAAAAAAATCAGTTTTCACGCGATAATTTCCGAGTATCGCATCTGATTTGCATACACAGTTCCATGTTGATAACTTAATAACGCAAGTGCTGAACAGTGCTTAATCCGCTTGTGTATTTCAGGATATTAGTCTCTCTGGTCTCTTTGATACGTTTGAATGAAATTTGGCCTACGTATGTCTAAAGATATATATTTTTTTTAATTCAAGAAATTTATGTGTTTGTTTCCATATGATGATCTGTGAAAGCTTTTTCTAATTGATAAAAGATACACATGTGTAACACTTGGAAATCTTTAATGGGGAAACGTTTCGCCACACAGTGGGTTCATCAGTCCATACGAAGGAGAATGGTGAAGAACAGGAGGAGTTTGAGGTAATCAGTCCATCAATCTTGATGGACTGGTTACATTGATGGACTGATTACATCGACTCAAGGCTAAGGGACTGATTATCTCAAACGCCTCCTGTTCTTCACCATTCTCCTTTGTATGGACTAATGAAGCCACTGTATGAGGAAAGATTACTTTTCTAATTATCTTTTAATCTTCAATACTAATATTTAACTGTATTACCAACCTGTGCTACACTATGCCCTATTCCAATTATGACATGCAATGAGGCTCATGGGACTGTGATCATAGGAATATGTGGATATCTATCACAGACTGCGTAATGTCCGTAATACGTCTAGTATACTTGAAATCTAATGTTAGCTTGACCAATGCACCAGTATGGATTACAGGGATTTAGATCAGCAGCTTACCTGTATATCGGTTCCTTGTTGCCGTCCCTGTACCACAGGACAACATACACCATGTCGGAAGGTTCAAATGTTCCCACCTCGCAGGGTAGCACAGCCTCCCTTCCCGACACCGCCTCCACGCGGCGCCACACTCCTGAAGAAAAAAGGACTCCGTCAAGTGTTTGTGGGTTGTTAGTATCTAATCGTTAAAGTCTTTTTTCAAAGGCTTGATTGACTTGATAATCATGTCTTGTGCATGTGAAGAATGGTAAAATTTATGAATGGTATGAATGGTAGAATGGTAAAATTTATAAATGGTAAACACCAAAATTTGGTAGTAACAACGATTTCAAATGTGCCCTATGATAACTGTCTTTCCTTTGGGCAACATTAAAGATAGTTTAGACAAATACATATGCGAGAGTTGGTGAGCAAGAATAGGGCCTCCCGTGCTGGAGACAGTAGGCCTACTACACAAATAACCCGCATATAGGAAAAAGGAGGTTAACGCGACGTTTCGGTATGGTGTATTTTTCCAGTGATGGTATTGTGCCTTTTTGTTCTTTTCAGTTTGCCTACTGAGATGCGCCTCTTTCCTCGAACTTTCAAGTTCTGCCCAAAAGGCTAAGAAGGTTTTATTTAGCAAGTCCACAGTCGACGGAAATATAACAGAATCAAGTGTTATAATAAAAAGTTTTGAAATTAATATGAATATTGCTTTAGGATTATACAAAGTGGATTAACTTATAATTAATAAATCTTGGGAAGAAATTAAGATACATTAGACAAGTTAAAATCTTAAAGCTTGAGTAGAATATAAGATGTGTTTGACAGGACCTTGACTACCTACGTATATCATCACCGATGTGTTCAGTCCATCAATCTTGTAGAAAGTACAGCATATGACAGGAGAAGTTGCTTACATACATTTCCTTAATAAAGATTTCCATATGTTGCCTAAGTGTCTCAATCTTCAACTTGTCGGTTTTGAAAACCATTTATCACATCTGTCAGACAAAGCAACATCATGGGAATTTGATACAAGGAATTCTTCAATACTTCTTCAACCTTAGGACGAAGACCTACTTACAATAGTGGATGGTTCCACTGTGATCCCTCCTCCTCCTGCTTCCACTCACCTGACTACAGTATATAAGCCATTTTTCCGACCACATGCTGTACTTTCTACGAGAGTGATGAACTGAACACATCGATTCCAGGCTGAGGGACTGATTACCTCAAACTCCTCCTCTCCTTCCCCATCTCTTGGTTTTTCTTATTTTTCTTAATAGTTCTTGTTCTTCTTTATTTCCTCTATTTTCCATGGGGAAGTGGAAAAGAATCTTTTCCCCATAAGTAATGCGTGTCGTATGAGGCGACTAAAATGCCGGGAGCAATGGGCTAGAAACCCATTCTCTCGTAATAAAACACTAAAAACGAGAAGAAAAACTTCATAAAACTGTGATGCTTGAATTTGCGTGGATGATAAGAAAAAGATGATTGCTAAAGTTAAGAATGAAAAGAAGTTGGATGTCTTGGCTCTAAGCAAAACAAAGCTGAAGGGGGTAGGTGAGTTTCAGTGGGGAGAAATAAATGGGATTAAGTCAAGAGTATCTGAGAGAGTTAGAGCTAAGGAAGGGGTAGCAATAATGTTGAAGGATCAGTTATGGAAAGAGAAGAGGGAATACAAATGTATAAATTCAAGGATTATGTGGATTAAAGTAAGGGTTGGATGTGAAAGTGTAGGAACTTTTGAACCAAGTGAGAGAGTAATTGTGGTAAGGGACCTAAATGCTAAAGTAGGAGAAACATTTAGAGAGGGTGTGGTAGGTAAGTTTGGGTTCCACGTGAAAATAAAAATCGGGGCCCTTTGATTGAACTTTGTATAGAAAGGGGTTTGGACCTACCTACAATGAATGATAAGACAGTCTTGCCACAGGCACCATCAGAGAACACTTATGTAACCATGGACCCTATTAAGGTGATAGGTGTTAAAGAAAGAACTAACTCAAAAGTGCCATCCTCTGGAGAGGCATTGGATTCGCCTGACCTTATTCAAATTATAACAAACTTGTAGAAAAAAATTGAGTATCTTGAACAGATCCCGACAAGTTTAATAAATATATGTTGTCAGGATGATGCTCCTGAGTACGGTGATGATGTCAAAAGTGCAGCAATCTCCGTTCAGTTTCAAGCAATTTGTAAGAAAGAAGCCCGTGACTCATGGCTTCAAGACTTGCTTTGGAACCGGCTGCCAAGATGCCGAAAAATGCTTAAAGAAAAAGGTTCTGAAGATAAAGACGTACGAACTATGCTATTTGATCTTAAGTATCTGCACACTGTAGCCAAAGCATAGTAGTCTTACCATCTTATGAGCAAGAGATTGTAATAACTCACTACAATGGATACATTACAAATCTTTTCACGGAACATTGCTTCCATCAGGAAGCGGTTGCCTGACTTACATCATATTAGTGCAGCCAAGAATATTGATGTCATCTGTTTGCAGGAATGTAGATTGAAAGATGGAGCACCTCCACGAGCGTTGCCTGGATATGCAGCTTATAACTAAAGGTCCACCAACTGTTGTGTGATGTATGTCAGAAAGAACTTGCCACATTCACTCCTTGCCCTGTAGAGTCGAGTAAACATGCAGTATCATGGTGTCAAAGTATATACAGGCGATTTTTCCATAAACATTTTTAATCTTTATGCCCCAGCGAACCAGCTTCGACCTGTTGCTTTACTAGATCGCATCAACAGTGAACCTACCCTCATTCTTGGAGATTTTAATGCCAGACATAAGAATATAACAAACACCAATGGAACTAAACTAGTGAAATTGCTAAATGAGCATGATAATGTTCGAATTATGGGCACTACTGAGCCTACTCACATATATGGTGGCATACTAGATCTGTGCCTTGGATTTAATATATCATATACGATGCATAACTCTGTCATAGTTGATGATCTTCTATCTGATCACTTCCCTAGACTCACAACTCTCAATCTTGATCACATCTCCAGCAATCAAGAAGCTAAATACAGAAGAAGGAAACTTATTCTCAAACCAAAACACAGAGACAACTTTATTAACCACTTGGATCAATGATATAAGAATTACGAGCCCACTGGCGCACAATAAATTTAATGATGATATAGTTGCCACTATTGAGACTGTTCTCACAGATCAAGTGGACAGGAAAAGAAAACAAACCTTTCACTATAAATGACAATAAAAACCAATGTAAATACCATAATGATCCAGAGCTACGTAATCTAACACATGCAGCAGCTAGGAGGATTGGTAAAGTATACCGTGAATGTAGAACCCCAGACCTGCTCAGAACATTCCAAGCTGCACTAATAAATGCAAGGAATAGAAAGCAAGAACTTAGGCAACAGGGATGGGAATAATTTGTTAGTGGATTAAATAGGTCCACTTCCTTTAAGTTTGGCTTGGAAAGGTATAAATAAAATAACCAGGAAAAAGACTGGCAATGTTGCTCATCCCTTTCTTCTCGAAAAAGTAAATGACCTCATAAATGACTGGTCCAAAACATCCAGGCATGAAAACCTTCCATCACATATTAGAAAAAAGTTAGAGAGTACTTCTGAAGACATGTTGAAACTGATTAATTTTACGAGGCACAATATTGATGAGAGTGACTGCCTATTCAACGAGAATGAATTAGATAATGCATTAACTAAAGGTCGATCAAATGCTCCTGGAGAGGATGGTATAACCTATGATATTTTCTGAGCTCTAAGGCAAGTGCCTGATAACCCTTTGTTGGCACTGTGTAATACGAGTTACATTGAGGGAGTTCTTTCCACTTCCTGGACCAATAGTCTCCGGCATCTAAATACGGAGTCATTCAGAATCCTGTACACTGTGTACGTTAGGCCAATATTGGTGTATGCAGCGCCAGTTTGGAACCCACAACTAGTCAAGCATGTGAGGAAACTAGGGAAGGTGCAAAAGTTTACAACAAGACTAGTCCTGGAGCTAAGGGATATGTCCTACGAGGAGAACCTAAGGGAAATCGACTTGACGACACTGGAAGACAGGAGAAATAAGGGGGATATGATAACATATTAAATACTGAGAGGAATTGACAAAGTGGATAGAGACAGTATGTTCCAGAGATGGGACACAGCAACAAGGGGTCACAGACGTTGAAACCTCAGATGAACCACAGGGATGTTAGGAATTATTTCTTTAGTCACAGAATTGTCAACAAGTGGAACAGTCTGGGTAGTGATGTAGTGGCGGCAGGATCCATACATAGCTTTAAGAAGAAGTATGATAAAGCTCATGGAGCGGGAAGAACGACCGAGTAGCGACCAGTGAAGAGGCGGGGCCAGGAGGTGTGACTCGACTCCTGCAACCACAGCTAAGTGAGTACACACACACATGCGCACGCGCACACACACACACACACACACACACACACACACACACACACACACACACACACACACACACACACACACACACACACACACACACACACACACGAGTTCCACACAAGAGATTAGTGCAAAAACTGGAGGACCAAGCAGGGATAACAGGGGAGGCACTAAAATGGATCAGGGAATACTTGTCAGGAAGACAGCAGCGAGTCATGGTACGTGGCGAGGTGTCAGAGTGGGCACCTGTGACCAGCGGGGTCCCACAGGGGTCAGTCCTAGGACCAGTGCTGTTTCTGGTATTTGTGAACGACATGACGGAAGGAATAGACTCCGAAGTGTCCCTGTTTGCAGATGACGTGAAGTTGATGAGAAGAATTCATTCGATCGAAGACCAGGCAGAACTACAAAGGGATCTGGACAGGCTGCAGATCTTGTCCAGCAACTGGCTCCTGGAGTTCAACCCCACCAAGTGCAAAGTCATGAAGATTGGGGAAGGGCAAAGAAGACCGTAGACGGAATACAGTCTAGGGGGCCATAGACTACAAACTTCACTCAAGGAAAAAATTCTTGGGGTGAGTATAACACCAGGCACATCTCCTGAAGCGCACATCAACCAAATAACTACCGCACCATATGGGCGCCTAGCAAACCTCAGAACAGCATTCTGACATCTTAATAAGGAATCGTTCAGGACCCTGTACAGCGTGCACGTTAGGTCCATATTGGAGTATGCGG